GTCACCCTGGTAATAGTGGCTTTAAATGGTTGAGTCTCACACACTGGTTTGTCTTGATTAACTTCAGAATGCACCCTAATATCATATTATAAATGTCAGATACAACACAGACGTTACCAAAGATTTACTTTCATAAATATGTTAGAATCAAAGTTATTATGATTCCTTTAATAACATCATTCTAATTGACTAACATTCCAGGGTGTCTTCCTGAGTGTAAGAGGAAAGAGTAGAGTCACAAGGATGCTGTCGGGAATTGTACAAGATCCTGTCTGTATTCCTGGGAGCATTGTGGGGAGAATGTGAAAATGTGAATCTGAACATCATCTATCAACCATGTGAATCACTAGAAAGAAAAGACTGAAATGAACTAATGTAACCAAAAGAAAACAAATAGCCATCCAAACAGCACTTAAGTGTTATGAAGAATACAATGAAAGGTGGGGGACTAAAAGGCATGAATAAGTAAATTAAAAGTATATGATTAAAAATATAAGATTATTGATATAACTGAACTTACATCTACAAAAATGCAATTTATACACAAATTTGTATCTACTTCAAAAAGATATGGCTCATCTAAGTTTGAAATACTCTTCAATTTCTCTTTCCTAATGTGATATACTTCTATTTTTTCCAGACTATAGCTTATCCTGAAATGATCCTATTTTTTCCAGCAAATGTCATTTATGAAAAGAATGATTGCTAAGAAACAAACAATTTGTTAAAACCATGTAATTGTTTCTTTTAGCCTTCATTCAATTCCTGGCATGGACTTATAGGAAATTGTTTGTTTTCATTCATTTTTAATGCCTAAACTTGCTTCAATGTTTAGCATTGTCCAAAGTTTAGCAAACTATTGTGTAACATCATTGGACTCCACATTCCGATTTGAAATATTTTGTAAGTAAAAATAAAGAATGCTCAGGAAAATGTTTAGAGAGTTCCCAAGTGTTGTGGTTTAATCTCATTATCATCATTTTTGGCTGCTTTCTTCTCTACTCTTGTGCTTCTATTTAAACAGGCTACAGTCGATGTGAGTTCTATAATCCAGTGTTGAGCAGAATTTAGATGTTCATTCTCCTAACCTTTATTTACTAAAGGACTAAAGCAATAAAAGCAAAAACAGAAGCATCTTATTTCATTGGGGCATGCAAGGAAATCTAATTATTCTCATTTGAAAAAATAGCCCTGTAGAATTTATAGACGGGCCACACAGGGAGGATGGAGTTTCTATTTCTAGACATAGGAGCCCTCTGATCCCACAACGCAGCCCCAAACAGACAAGAAGACCTTTTGTATTATACATTTTAGAGCCCATATAACTTCTCAATTCCAATATTTGATAACCTTCTCCATCCAGAGATCCTCCTTACAATCTAATCTTCATGCCCTGCTCCTCTTTTTAAATCAATTCCCTCTTGTTCTCTCTTCAGTGAAGACTGAAATTAGTGGGTCACCATATGAACGATAATCTTTCATGTACATGAAAACTTGAAATTAAATTAAACACATCTCCACTTTAGGTTTCTTTTACAATTGGTGGTTTACTTGCCAGTCTCAAAGCCTTATTTTTTATTATTTTTTATTAAATCATAACTGTGTACATCAATTCAATCATGGGGTACAGTGTGCTGATTTTATATACAATTTGAAATATTTTTATCAAACTGGTTACCATAGCCTTCACGGAAAGCCTTATTTTTTAAATTGTTGGTATTCACTAATTTATTAAAACTTCGCCATTCTCAAAACATTTGGCTAAACTTTCATGGTTTCAGCAAGTTTCTCCAGAATGAGACTATGCTGTTTCAAGGCATGATCATGTTTCTACCTTTAGAAGGAAATTAAGACGGTGAGGGAGGAAATATGTGCTAAGAAGATGATCATGAATACAAAGACACTTTTACCTATCATGTTTCTATGCTACGCAAGGCATGCTCAATGTGACATGCTCCCTGAATCCTCAGGAAGTTCACAGTCTTATCTAACACACATATGCACCTAAAAAACATAATAAATCCAATATACAAGATGCTGGAGAGTGCAGTTAACTCTGTAGGACAGACAAGGGAGCAAGAAAAGCCTAGAAAGACTTTAATGTAGTGAAGTCTAAGCCGAGTCTCAAATAAGGAGCTTCAACACACTGCAAAGCAGAAGTGAAAACTTTCAAAGCAAAATGACCACATGAGAGGGCAAAGGTCAATCTGTTTTGAGAACTAACAAAAAGTGCAGAGACCAGGAAAGGGCAGCATGCTGGAACAGCAAGAGTTAAACCTGAAAAGGTGGCCAGGGCCCAGGTTACAGAGCAATTTTTTATACAGCTAAAGAATTAGGACTTTGTCCTGTAGGAAGGCCAAGGTGAAAATAAACGAGGCCAGACAGCAGTTGCGTTCATGCCGCAAAGAGTGAACTGGAAGGAAGGAAAAAATCAAAGACAAGAAAAGCCAATCAAAAGGCTGATCCAAAGTTCAGCCAAGGGAGAATGTGGCTGTGAACTAAAGCAGTGAAATAGAATGGAGGAGAGGTCATGACATTAGGATATTTTTGAAAGGTAGAATCAACATCTTGGTTAGCAATTGCAGGTTTATGGTGAAGAAGTGAGGGGAAGAGGATAAATCACAGGTTTGCAGCTTGCAGGGTGCTACCACTGACTTGGAAAGGGAGCAGGAGAAGTAGAAGAGCAATGTCAGGAAGAGTCATTACTTCAGCATTGGCCCTGCTGACTGCAAACTGTCTGTGAAGCACCGTAGTGAAGCCTGGGGTTAGTGTGCAAATGGTGTTTTATGGCAATGCAGCTAAAGGCTCAAGAAGAGAGTCCAGAGATGTTGCCTTTTTCTAATGCAGTGGTCATCAGGTGAGAACACCCGGTAAACAGGTGTGGGGGGAGACCAAGGTTGGAGATAAGCACAGGGGAGACATCACTGCTTTTCAGAACTGTGCTGAACAACACAGCAGCCAAAAGCCACACACGTCTACATTTAAAATAATTAAAAGTAAATGCAGCGAAAACCTCACTTCTTCGCTGCCATTAGCCACATGTCATACTTTCAATGGCCAATGTAGTTAGTGCCTGCTGTACTGGGCAGCACAGACGTAGGCAATTTCCGTCAACACAGAAAGTTCTATGAGAACGTGCAGGCATGAAGCATGTAAAATAAGAGGAAAGATTTGGAGGCAGAAACCCAAGGGAAGAAGAGGAGTGAAGGACGAGTGGAGTGAGAAGGAGTCTTCACAGAAGTAAAACAAGAAAGGGGGTGAGTAGAATCACAGCAGTGTGGCTAACAGAAGACACAGAATACACAAAAATAAGAAAAGAGGAAAAGAAGTTAAAAAATTACCTCTAGGTAGCCTATTTTACACTGACCTTCGGTATAGTATTGGAATTGTCATCAGTTTCTTCAGATGTAAAATGACTCAATGAGACTCATGCTTTCAGAGGACAGGTTTAGCTTTTCGAAAGAATTCAGGTGCCCCACAGGATGGGAAATGTTAGAAATACGACCATTTTCTTCCCACATTCTAATCAAGAAGGAAAGGTCCTGCCTACACATCTTAGCTTTGTCCTTCTGGGAGTATTTCTAAGGGTCTCTGATTAAGGTTGTATCCCTGCCGAATATGTTTCTCAAAAGTATATGTCAAATACCTGGACTCAGGCATCAAATAGCACACAACGTTCTCTTCTAAAGCTGATAAGAGTGGGTTACTAGGAACTGGAGGTGGGGGAATGGAAAGTTACTGTTAAAGGGACACAGTTTCAGTTTGGGGATGATGAAAATGTTCTGGAAGTCTAAAATGTTCTTTAAGTCTAACACTGTTCTGTTTTAGACTTAAAAATGTCTAAAATGGTAAATTTTATGGCATGTGTACTTTATCACAATATTTTTTTGAGTCATGCTGAACTACAACATAACGTCGGAGAGAATCTATACAATACCTTTCACAACCGTCTATAACTAGGAAATCTAAGATACGAAACATAAATATTGAAAACACTGCCCACAAACTTCTGTTGCTTGAAGTAATATAGGTATTTGTATTAGGCTTATGATATTAAGGTATGGAAATAAGGGTTTGCTAAGTTGTAAGGTGGTAAGCATCTCTTGTTACTGTTGGTATTGCCTTCTCTGCTACTGACAAAGGTCTGACAAAAGTGAAACAAGTTAGAGCTTTAAATGTCGCTGAGAGAGAAAAAAAAGGCATTAGGCTAGTTTCATAATCAAGATGGCATTTATAACCTTTTCCTTACTATTTGCTCCTCAGGTCAATAGTCGCAGTTAGCTGGTAGAATGGCGAAGTATAAATATCAGCAATAAACCCCCAGGCAACCATGTTTGTACAGGCTAAACGCTCATTCTGCGATTAAAGAAGGGTGAGTATCCCATGAATCACCCCTTATGCATTCTCTGACAGTTAGGGGAACGCAGGAGGGACCTTAAGAGAAGCCAATTTCTCTTTCCAGCGGTGTTATTGCAACCAGGAAGCAGAAAATTTCGAGCTAAAAATTGAAATCAAAGCAGGTGATACTTTACCAATGTAAAATCATACAATAAGCCAATGAATGTTTGGTCCAGAATTATTTATAAATTATACAAGAACAACAGATAGAGATTTTAACTCTGTCTCCCATCAACATCCAGACTTTTCCTTGTGGGCATATTGGCAAACTGGAAGTAACACTTGCACATTCATGATCACATCCTGTTTCCTTTCCAAAGATATTTACCAAATACAAAGAACAGGACTGTCTTTTAACCAAATCAAATCTTCCTTGCCTACCGTGGAAGCTCAGCTCAGATATCAGGATACAAAGATTCTGCTCAAAATAGAGGGATTCTGCTGATGTTACAACCTGACAAATCAAATCATCTCATGATCGTAAGCTGAAAAGGTGCTGGCCCAACGCAAGAACAGACACTAGAGATGGAAACCAATCAAAGAGAAGGAAAGAAGGAAGAAAGACAAAGAAAAATAGAAGAGATGGCTCATACTATACTTACAACTTTCAGCCTGATAGTCTGGCACAAACTGCTCATCATTGTCAGGTACCTGAGCTGAAGAAGAAAAAAAAAAAATTAAAAAAAAATTAAGAGAGAAACTGCCAAGGCATAAGGAATGTCAAGCAAAATCTGTCAAGGTCTTTTTAGGCTGTGATCAAACCCATGATTATTTGCCAATGAGCTCCTATTTAAAATGGTATCGACGGCGCTGCTTAGAAGGGGAAACAGGAGGGATCACTGATGTCAACTACAAAACATATATATGTCAGAAATAGGACGATGGCAGGTGTCGTCCCTCCAAATTTCTTTCACCTGACAGATGGAAATAGAAGCAAAATGAAAGCTCCAGGATTTCTATTTCATGCAGAGTTGTTTTTTTTCTTTTTTTCACAAAAATAGAGGACAAGGTATTTCAATTCACCCCCTATCATTGCTTAAGCAGTCCCTCTAAATTATCACAATTCTTTTAAGTGATGTACAGTGACCACACATATGCATCTGCTTTCTTAGAAACATCTGCTTTGGGGATATTCCATCTCATGCGAATTATACCATAATTAAAAATGTTTGTGTGTGCCTTTAATTTGCCCAACCTGCTACAAAGTTTTAGAGGAAAGAAATGTCCTCGATTTGGGTTGTATATAATAAAGTAATATATTTCGATAATTATATTCATAATGTTACAAATAAACAAAAACGCCATCTTTTATGCAAAATATTTTCCTGAAGATTGTTCAGCACTTAAAAAAAAAAGAATATCACGGTTTCATCAGTTCTAATGTCAATTGTCTTCCCTACTTTTAGTAAAGAAAAAATACTAAATAACAAGGACTTAATGCATTCAGCAGCAATCAAAACACAAGTGCATTTTTCACTTCTAAAATGTTTCTATCACAGTTTATTAGATGTCAAAATAAATTATTCCAAACTGACAGAATGTTACTAAAATGAATTTTCACAATAACACACAAATACACACACACACACACACACACACACAGACATACTACATAAAATAGAAGTTAGATTACTTTTAATTTGGTAAAAATATAATGAACTATCAACGTAATTAATGTTAGCTATGATCTGATTAGATAGAATTACTTTACTAGTGTCATATAATATTAAAACATTTTTACTAGTCAAATCATATTACAACTAATGTCAATTATTTTTTTTAAATGATCCTAGTCCATATGGAAAATGCTTATTAAAATAAACAGTCTCTGTTGAAAATATTTCAAGGTTAGTATCTGAATGAGTTAAGGAAAAAATCTATATAAAAAGGAATTCTTTATTTAAAAAATTACATAAAAACAAATGTGATAGCTATGGAATTAAGCTTTCTTTGTATCAGTTTATCTAACAGTATTTATTTAAAAAGAAATATTTGGCTGAATAAAAGTTGGGGTACATTATAAAGAGCATAACTATTCAGTGCTAATCTTGCCCTTTGTTAAAATATTCAGTTTGGCATTCAAATGTTTTCTAGTAACTGATTTCTTAACCAATACTTAACCTTTTAAAAAGACACTCTTATCTTCTGCCACCAAATAAAATTCTTAAGCACTTTTCCAAGTTATAACTGATGCTCAGGTGATCAGCCTATACGGAAATTATTTTTCTCTTCATATTCCAATATACCTCATACTGTGGGTAACAACTTAAAAGTCAGCAAACTTCAAACTACAGTTCTATGACATGCTAGTTGTATAATCTGGGGTAAGTTATTGAACCTCTTTGAACTGCAAATACTCATCAGTTTAATAGTGATAATACAGATTTTTGGGTGAGGATTAAATGAAATAGTCAAAACACCATGCCAGCTACTCAAGAAATGTGACTTATTTTTTTCTTTCCAGTCCTCCACCACCCACCCTTTTCTTTCTCCTCATACATAAAAAAGCACTTCAATCATTACAATGCCTGGTTGAATGTCCTTTACTTTTAATAAATTCTATTGAAGAAGGGGGGGAAAAAAAAGAAACAGTTAAAATTGGTACATTAGAATTCTTTCAGCTTATTAACACAGCATATTCTTGCAAACTGTAGTAACATTTTTCTTTTAGATTCTTCGTAAGGGAGGAGTACGCTTTGAGTCTTCACACCAAAAAAAAATTACAAGTGTTTTTAATACATATTTAATAAACAAACGGCAAGGAAACAGATTCAAATACTGCACACTTATCCATAGTATCCACCTTTCGGTTTTCCCTCTAAACCAACAGCTAAACAGATACAACGGCTGAAATGCAAACGTATCAACCACAGCAACTGCTATGCTTTTAAAAAGCCAACATTTAGAAGAATCTAATAAAAATGTAATATCTCTTTACAGGAAGAGTTAAAAATACCTGGTGAATAACAAAAGTAAATTTGTCATTGAATGTGCTGGTATGAATATCCAAAGAGTCAGAATTGTTTTTTATAGTGTCTTAAGACAAATATCCAAATCCATAATACATCGCCAGGGCACCCTAAAAATCACTGATGGGTGTGTGGTTGCGTGTTACAATCTGTGTTTGAAAAAAAAGGCAAAACTTCAGACCTAGAAGAATCCAGAAGTTTTACCTCACAAATACACTGAAAATAGCTGCATACTAACAATTTGTAAAAAGAGTAAGAAAAAGAATTTCTATTTCTGTTCTAACTCCTTAACATACTGAATAAATACTTCACACTTCTGTCTGAACATATTACAGATTTTTAACAAAAAACATATGACTCACATTTTCACAGAAGCTAATCTTTAGAAACTGAATAGACCAAATGAAGCAGCATGCTACTTAAATAGACAAAGGCTTAAGTATACCTCTAATTTCAAGTTAGAGTAAAAGGAAGGCAGTTAACGAAAAACATGAGTTGGAACGAGGCAAGGAAAATATGACAAAGTATTGCCACACTCGTATCATACATTTCCTTTTTTTTTTTTTTTTTTTTTTTCCCTTCAATTCAGAGGAATTCTGTGAAGGAGCAAAACTACAGCTGCCTGAAAATTTGTGGCAAGCCATTCTAACTCCAAAGCCGCAAATTAACAATGGAGGTCAGCCTAAAAAGGATTTTTTTTTTTTTTTTACTACTACCTATTATAAACTATGCTTGAAATGATCACTTTCGGGGGATGAAAATGTTCCTTTACACTGTGTAATTAAAGAGGAAGAGAAAAAGGAAGAAGGGGGAAGGGGAGAAAGTATATACCAACAGCCCAATAGAAGGCTTTCAAGAAGATTATGCATGAGCGTTTTATTGGTAATAGCTGAAGCAGCGCCATCAGTTCACTGCACATTAATAGACAAGTTGCCATCTAGTCTCTGGCTCTCAGCTTTAAAAGGGTGTATCTGCACTCTTAGCTACTTGCTTGGCCTAGATTATTATCTAAAGTATTTATTTTTTTCTTTCTTTTTGCTACCTAGCCATACATATTTTGGGAAAGAAATTCATAAAAACATTAATCATGATGTATACTGTCACAGAATCACCAATTTCTCATTTTCTAAATGTTAATATTTTAAATTTAATAGGCTTTCTCAACTAAGGCTGCCCTGGGGGGTGGGGTGGGCAATTTTAAATAGAGTGTGCCTTTATCGTATTTTTAACTTTCACTTGAAACCATAATACTTACTTAAGAAAAGGTAAGCATTTAAAAATTTTCCAAAGTTGGCTGCGGGCAAGCAAAAAATTCCTTATTCTTACACACTAATTGCCTGTCGGGTTTTCATTTAAAGCGAGGAAGAAAGTAGAAAAAGTACAAGTAAAACAAACATCAAGTATCAAAGGGGTTAATATTTAATTAAAACCAGTTCTATCCACTGTAACAATGACCTGGAGCCAAACAAGGCGGAAGATGTATGAGTCATTCTTTCTGCCCATGAATGAGACAGCTGATCTCCTCAGCTATTCCTCAAGACGAACGAGCAGAACTGGAGCTCTGCCCCCATTCACAAAAACACAGTCCAGCATGAGCCATGTGGCCCAACCACAATCTTTTCATGTCACACCCTTCCAGAGAGCTACAGCAAGTAAACTTGAACTTGCAGTATAAACACACCGATTTTACTGCTCCATCTCGGAGCTCATATCCTTTAAAGGAACGTATTTAAATAAATGACAGCTTTGTATATACAGTATACAGTATCTGTGTATAATAGACACACACACACACACACATACAGGAACATACTCCATCCTGCTTTATAGGGCAACTTGTTACAATAACTTGAATGTACAAAACTAAGGGAGTAAGGAAAGAGAGAAAAAAAGGAGGATGGGAAGACGAAAAGAAGACAAAAAACCATTGAAGAAATGCCTTATTTTTCTGGCCGATTATTCAGATTTTTTTTTTTTTTTTTACCACAAGGATGTTGTAGATTATTGCTGACCTAGGTAGTATTTCTCCTTGCATCAAAGGCTCTGAAGAAAGTTAAATTTTATTTGACATAAAAGTAAAACAGCACGAAAAATCAACCTTTGCACAGTGGTATTCTGTTTAATCCTAAAATGAAGCTACAGGCCATGGAACAAAATAATCATGACTCCACTAAGCCTGGTTTTACACCACATCCGCTTTTAACATTAAAATGATTGCACCCATGTAAAAGCACTAATTAATCCTGAAGTGTAAACATATTTAAACAGGCAAAAAAGGAGACGATTTCCCTAGGACAGAAATGCCTTTAATACTTGATGAAGACGTTCTTTCTGTGTGTTCTAAAAGAAAGGAAACAGTAAAGTTTTAACTGTTTTGAATCTCAAATCAGCTTCAATTTCTAACTAAAAATTGACCTGCAATGACTTGAAACTTTGAGCCAACTAGCTGTTGTTTCTAGTCAGATATTTTCTCTAAAGTTATATTCTAAAATGCAAGACAGTACACATTTCCTATACGTGAACGAGAAAAGCTCAGCTTAGTTCATGTGTTGGGACCCTCTGTATAAACTATTCTATCCTACACCGCATCTAATTTTTTAAAAATTATTTTTCATTTTTAAAAAACTCTTCTGTTTTATAAATAAAACATAGGTGAAAAACATTTATTTAATTACTATGAATATTCAGAAATAAAATACACTTACTCTATCTGCTATCCTTAAATTAAATTCAAATGGATACTTTCTTCCCTATTTTAAACTATTTCCTGGCACAACAAAGAGAGGTGATACCCTCTGTTCCCAACCCTCACAACATGTGAAAAGACTGTTGCTAGATTTTAAGAAATTGTATGGACTTCTGTAAAATAATGCTTAATTCTCAATTCCCGTCATAATTATGTAAACCATTTAAAATAACATCATTTTTAAAGTTTTTACTCCTTAGTCAACTGCACTGGGGTTATGAGCACATATCCATGTTTATGTTCTCTTTAAAAAAGAAAATCAAATCGTAGAATTTTTGAAAACTAAAATGAGTGTATTAGGATTACTGTCTATTGTGGATGACATTCTACACAGTGAGCAATAAAAGCACACACTATTTAAGAAACATGATAAAAAAATGACTTCGAATATAAATTTAGCATCAGCCACTGAAGTGAACTGAGGGGGAAGTAATGACATCTCTGCTTTTAGGTAAACCTGACTATTATTTGAAGGTCACATTACACCAAAAGGAAAAAAAAAACAAAAACCCTTATTTACATGAGGTAACGACCTTGGGTGTAGAAATGTTGGTATTGGAGATAAAACTTTGACTCGAAGTATGGCTGCAGTATTAAACTTGACTTACTACACCACCATTGGAAAACATTTTACCCTAATGACAGGGAGTCACTTTGACTTTTTCCTTAATGTTATTAATGAAAGAGCACCTAAAAGAACATTCTAGACCCACAACAAAGTAACAGTCCAAAGAGGAACTATGTCTTTATATTTGATGTATGCTAAAATTTAGGATGTCTCTTCAAGTTGCATTAGCAGGTAAGCTGTGATAAGCAAATTTGGAAGAAAGCGATCCTTCCTTAATTCGGTTTTTTAAATCTTTCTATTTCTGTCTGACACACACAAGAGGTTCCACTTTGCTATGACTTTTAGGTTGTTAAGAATAAGGCACTGCCATGGTGTTGACAAGATTGATATTTGAACTCATTATTTCACAAGATCAAATAATGATAATTGTCGTCGTTCTGTCAGTAGCAATCTAATTCGAAAGGCAAAGAATCAATAGAGAATGGCACATAGTAAAATTATAAAGTAGCTGGGACAAAATTTACAAAAGGCACATTCTACAATGTTTTTAACTGCTACCGTGGTCACTAAAAACATTAGCTTTTCAATTTTCTTCAGAAAAAGACAATTATTTTATAAGTGGTGGCACAGATGTTAAAAGCCTTTAAACTGCAGTTTGTCAGTATTTGGAAAGTGATAGGAAGTTATATTCTGTAGAAATATATTTCAGAACCCTGTCTCCCTGTATGGAAATTAAATTGAGGGAGAATGCAAGTGTATTTTTAGAGAACTCTTTAGTGACTTGAAAACACTGGTTACATCCCCACCCTCAAATAGTCCTGCCTGAACTATTCCAACTTCCCCTCAGAGAGAAAAGACATTTCATAATCCATAATAATTTACCCAGGACTAATCCATATATTGAACTCTGGGTCAGATTTATAAAAATCCTTACAGCAAAAACCAAATTAAACATGCTAAGATAGATCATTTTCCAAGTATTCAGGGACTTTTATAATTTTTTTTTTTAAAACATGACTCTCGTGTTACACATTATAACTAACTTGACTCTCATGTCCAATAAAATTTTTAGACCTATTTAACTTCCCAGTGGGATTCTAACTCATGGGAGAAACTTGGTTAATTGCCAATGATCTTTTTTAAAAGGGTCAAAATGTCTTAAAATTCCATGGTCACTTTCTTGGCTATGGAGCATTGTAAAAAGAAATATGTAAACGGTTTGCCATTTGCCAATTTGGCAATGTTTTAATTTCTGGATGGTCTGGAGGACATAAATGGACAAATCCAGCTACAAATAAACTAGGGTAATTTTTGGACCTCTTTTTAGCTAATATTGTTCAAGACATCAGGTAAGTCAAGGTAAAATGTTAGTTCAAAATAATATATTTATATTTAATTGTTACATGCAAAAATAAATGTGGATTCTATTAACAAGCATTGAAAAAATACACCTAAGATCTCATACCATCACATTAGCAACTTTTTGCTTATGATTAGATAAATTAATATAAACTACTTTTAAAATACTCAAATTATTCTAAAATACAATCTTATCCATAGTTTGTAAATAAGAGCCTACCTAGATATTCAGTGAAACACTTACAATTAACTCTTGAACTTATAATTTAGCTTATGAATTCTCATCTAAGTAGAAGTCTCCATTTCTCCAAACACGTCTGTAATTTTCTAGGTTTATTTTATGTAAAATTAAATCATCAGATTTACATTATTTATGTGAATAATCCTAGGTAAAACTATTCTCTGCAGAGTTTTTAAAAAATAAACTTGGTTAAATTATTCACTCAACAGAGATCTAAGACACAAAACAAGTCAAAAGTAAAAAAAAAAAAAAAAAAAATTACCAAAACTGATTATAAAATGGTAAGAGTCTGTCACAGATTCCACATTTTAAAATTCCAGAAACAGAGTTGCTATGCACATTCAAAATCTGCCAGCAAGTGCACTGATTTGGAATCAATGAGATTTAAACATCTTAAGAACCAACAAACCTTCCAGAACAATTAAAATACAAAGTTTAAGTTATTTTGAATAAGCGAATACATTTCTTCATAAATATAATGTCCTCACAACTTTTGACTTTGCAAAACTAATAGAAAAAGTTAATACAAAAACTTCTGTGCAAATTTTTCATGAGAAAGTTATGTTGGAATATAAGGCTTATGTTGCAATAATAAGTAATCTATTGCAATAAGTTTCATTTGCAGAGACAAGCAAAATGACCTTTAAATATAACCAAAGCTTTCACTAATACTTACCGGTCATTAAAATACAAATACAATCACCCTTTCCAAGGACTATTAGGAAAGCAATTAAAGTCAAAAGATTCATAAAGACTGTAAAAGCTCTTTGGAGCTTTCGAATATCAGCAAAACAAAGAAACTTATTTTACATGCTAACACCAACTTGATCAACTGCATTCAAGACCACCAGATAAAAAACATCGGGCAGCCTCAAAATAACTACTGCACCTGGGTTCCATTTAAGGAGACCCTCTCTCTCCTTTTAACCGTCTTAAAAATCTGATTCAAAACTTGCATGTTTCTCATACAAAATGAACACAAATATAACACAATTACACTCAATGTTTAAATATCTACAATTTCCTCTTCATGTTTTCTACAAAGAACAACATAAAATTAACATTTCACATTTTTAATACCAAATCCACAGAAAAATTTCAGATTATGGAAGCCCACAAAAGACCCTCAATATTAGGCATTTCTGAAGTTGCATAAAGCTTTACTGAAGCAGTATCTCACTATTCCTTTAAACAAAGTTGCCCATAATAAAAGGTATAATAGATTGTACCACAAAATTTTGTCAAAAAATAGCCCAAAATAAAAGAAATGACTTTCAATTTCTCCTTACTATATTAAATAAATTCGAATAAAAGTGATAAAATAGCAAAGGTTAACTTCAACAAACATTACACAAATAGTAACACATATAAAACGTTTTAAAAATCCTCAGATCCCCCACAGATTTCTTTTAAACCCATAGATTTCCTAAGTATTGGATACACACCTAACGTTCTGTGTTGTGAGCAAGGTGGAAAGAAGACACTTGCACTTAAATCTTGAAGCATCCCGTCCTGATGAACCCAGAGAAACTAATTTCTGCCATCAGAAAAGTCCTCCACCAGAACACCAAATAATGATATGCGCTGCTCTAAAGGAAACAGCAAGCCAGCCGGGTTCTGGCTCTAGGAGGTCTCTGGAGGTACAATAATATAAACCTGATCAATTGCAATTAAAATCTGAACAGAGGCTTAGAACTTGAAGTCTTGGTGCATTAGTTCTTGCCAAAAGCAGATGTGATTGTGAGCTGGAAGCAATTTCTCCTGGTAATTTGTGATGACACTGGGTAGTACAGCCCCAGAGTCCCCAAAGACAAACTCATCAGAGGCTCTAATGTATGCATGACACATGAGGTGGCTCTTTTAGAGCTCAATTAATTGGGCTGAACATTAAGACAGCAAGTTCAGGACTTTTTTTTTCCCCCTTCCAAAGCCACTTTCCCCCTCTTTATAGCAATTTTGCCTTACCTTCTGCAAGCCATGTTTCCTGCAATTGACTTAGATCTTGAAAGAGTTCTAAAAAACAAATCAAAGACATAAACATAAGATTCACAGATCTTTAGTTTTCATTAAACAGAAATGAAATTGGTATTAAATATCAACTTAATTTGACAAGAGAAAATCAATATAAGACCATAGGATTCATAACTTAAATATCTCAACAATACTGCCTACTTTTGATGCATACTCATAAAGCAACACTTTTAAGAAAAATTCAAGTAAATAATAAAGTCGATCATCATTTCTGCCTCCTTTTTAATAAATGGTTTAATAAATAAGCTTGGGGACACCAACCAACACACCCAAAAAGGCTGGGATGAAGGTGTGCCTATTCAGAGTAACCTTTCTTAAACATTTTCTTCTCTTGCTAAAATAATAGTAGGAGACAGATTAGAAAAACTGAAAAGGATTTTATTAATATCTTCTGGATCCTACATAAAAGATGTAACGCTACATGGTATAATTTTCAAAGTACTATGTTTTCAAGTTTAAGGGGTCGAAACTAAAAGAAACTACCTAAAATACAAGTTTTTAGAGGAAAATTTCTACACGAGTAGGTTTACAAAAGTCAAAGATTGATAATTCTTTGACACCAGCTCATTATCAAGTCCAAAACTGTGTATTGTCATGTGGGGGAGAGAAGGAGTGTCCAATAAACATGAAGATTTGAGGAAGTCTCACAATTCAGCATACCTAATTAAAACTGCAACTGAACTTGGAGAATTAAAGATAAATATATTAAGTTTTTATGAAGGCCTCCATATGGCTGAAATAATTTACAGTATATTGTCCTCCAACCAACAGATCATAGAATCTGCAACCTAATTTCTCAAATTATATTGTAATTATTAATTAGGCCTTAACTATATTTCTCTGAACACTTTAAGGTCTCCAAACAAGATATTATGACCTCATAAAATGGTCATCAAAATTACCTATAAAAATTATGATAATGGTATATGGTTGAAGTGTAAAGGGAATGGGAAATCAATCATTAATGCTGTTTAACTTGATGTAAACAGTGTACATAGTTGATGAACTTGCCCTACCGTGTTGGACATTTTTAAATTGTTATCTTAGTGTATGGGATTAGTTACATGCCACATGGACAATGATATTTAAACACAAAAGAACAATTAAAAGAAGGATGTTACTGTTACATTTTTATTTCCTTCTTCCATTAGTTTGTGACAGGACCATAAAATATTCTCTAGTGCAAACTGTCACATTATGTAAATTGCTCCAAGTAAATGTCTTAGTTAAATTCAGTAATTTCAACAGTTTATTATTTTTAACATAAGAGGGAAGTGTTCTTTTTCTTTATGAGGGTAGAGTGCAGGTAAAGAGTTGGGATTCAGCCCCAGATCAAACCTCACCTTCTGAATCATGAGCCAGATCTCTGTTAATGAATTTTCTTTTCCTGACATTTGTTGGTTTCTCGTTACAATTTCTCCCACGCTGACTCTACAAAGGGAAAGATAAAATCCTTTAAATTTGTAAACCTCAGATGTCACACACACACACACACACACGCATACATAAGTCTACTGGATCCTCTTTCTAACTGAAAAATAAAAGTCCATACTATCAATTCTAATATTCACTTTCTGCATTTATTACACAGTAAAGGCTTATGCTGAGAATTTAGCAGCCAGGGAGAGTGGTTTCCCAGTACCGATCCTAACACACGACTATTTATCAGTCATACAGTCATGGTATCTCAGCATCAAAACAACATTAAGCATTACACTTAAAGTTGTTCATAGGCTAGACTAATGTTAGATTAAAATACAGTGGATTTTATTCTCTTTAGGACAGCCCTCCCCCCCGAAAAGCAGAAAGAGAGGAGAAATGGGGAAAAAATAGAAGATGAGGGAGGAAAAAAGAAACAAAAACACCCTATATAAACAAAAAGCGTCAGCATTTGTCTCAACTTCATTCTTTTCAATGTGGCAGACAAACCCAGCCAAAAACTTTGAGTGCAGCAGCTGCTGCTGCCCTCCATCTCCTCTTCCACTCATCTTGGGCACTTTAATCAGAAAAAGGGGTCTTAAAAACAAAACTATGCCTTATCCAAATCACTGAAAGGTAAGCTCATTTTGAAGACTGGGCTTCTAGAAGCAGAGTCGCCCTACAGTGGCAACAAAGCAGATAAGTATCTGCAATCCCAACCCCCTTGCCCCCTCCCTTCTCCTTTTCCCTCCCCACCCCCGTCGGAGTCAAGTTTATAAACAGCAACTTTCAAACTGATCACTCACATTGGTGACCATGTAAGGCACTTGCTGGTCATAAAATCCATCCATTCTGCTGCTCTTCGCAAATCTCAGCTCAGTACTTTATATTTTGAGCATTTAGCTGCAGATTTCTTCGGGATCTGGACTTCTATCAACCTAGAGGGGAACAAGATGGCTTTTAGGCTTAAAAAAAAAATCATGAATGAAGCTCTTGAATTTGCATAGCTAATTACCCTCCGACAGTCCCATTCACAAAAATAACCCTCCCTACACCGCCTCCTTCACCTGGATCCGAGAGAGTTCACAATTTACATATTTTCGGTAGTAGCAAAAATCCGAACAAGAGGCGATGTATTTATTTACACTCTCGATGCTTCCCTGCGCGGTCGGTGTACCCCAGGCAGCTCAGATTCGCAAACGTGTGCAAAACTAGCAATGGCGATCAACGAGACTTGCTTTGCACCTAACGGGACTAAAGAGACGGAGATACCTCTTTCATAAGGATAGTTTTTGCGACCCACAACCATGCAATTATCTGGAGAGACATAAAAAGTTGCTGGAAAGACCCACCTGAAGGCCACGCTAGGCGAACGGCTGCAAAAAACTCCCTCCAAATTTAATAAAAACATTAATTATTGCCCAGCACTTCCCCTTGGAAGCCGAAAGCGCCTCTGACAGAGCTCAATTCGGTGGTTTTTCCTCTACTTCTCCTCCAGGGGCCTCCAATCCAAACTGATGGATCGCTGCCTCCCATTGGTTCCGCGTCTCTTTCACAAGATCAGATTTCGGGCTGTCAATCAGGCGGCTCGCTGCCCCTGCCCGCGGGTCTCCCTCGCCCCTCTGTCCTAGCCGGTGCGCGACTGACAGGCGCAGGGTCCGCAGCCTGGAAACGCCACGAAGGAAATCGACTTCCTCCCTAACCCGCGGCTTATGGTTAAGGCGCCTGGAGATACTGAAACCATGTGTATCGAGTCGCCACTTCTCTTTACTGGTGTGCTTGGTCCACTCTTGGGCTGATTGCCTTAAAGCCCTGTTGTGAGGTTCAGTTTCAGGGACCAAAGCGCGATCCACAGAGCTCTCACCTGCCCACTCTCCCGCCACCCAGGACCTCTACCCCCTCCATTCGGACCTGGACAACAGGGAACCGAACGCGCGCTCTCTCGGTCTCTCTCTCTCTCTCGCTTTCTCTCTCCATACCCATTCTCACTAAGCTTTTGGCCCAAGTTCTTTTCCCGTTTTTCAGCATCCATCACCACCTTATGGATCATGGTTTATGGATCATGGTTTATCAAAACATTTAACAGCCGAGTTCAACTAAAATTCTATCCTATCGTTCTTGGGTCAGGAAAATAAAGTGTCTATTAGGAAAGCTGAGGTTGTGTTGAGAAGTGGAAGAAATATAGAGCAATCAAGGTGAGAAAAAGTGTATCAGCCGATTTTGTCCCGACCTATGCACTGGGAGAAGGAACTTAAGTGCTCCGCGGAGGTGGGGAAAGGGAGGGAGCGGACCGAGGGGCTCGGATATCCCAGGGACCCGCACGTTTCCTGAGCTTTTGTTGTGTATACACAGAGGCGGAGGGTGTCACTTACTGTAGTTGACGCTTTCACTTCCTCTCCAGCTTTTAAAAAGCTGGAGCCCGAGGTTGGGGACGCGCGGGGAGAGGGCTCGAATTTCAAGAACAATGACTAGGACGTTAAGGAGTGAGAGCAGTGTCTCTGAAACCACTTATCCTGACCTTGCTATGGAGCTTGGAACCATAAAGCGTCACTCAAGAATCCATGGTCCAACCCGCGATGGGAGGCCGCGGGGATGGGACCAGGGGCGCATTGGCGTTGAAATTCACTTTTGGTTCTGGCAGTGACCAGAGCTAATGGCCAAATCCCGTTTCCAGCAGCCGCTCCGCCTGTTGGGAAACGTGCTCTATCTCTCAATTTCTTTTTGGAAGTTTCCTTCCTTAAATGCAATATGGAGACGCATTAAAATGGAGTGTAAGCGAGCGCACAACACTCAACTCCGGGCCCAAAGAGGAGGAGAAAGATCTGTATCAAAAACAAAAAACCACATGTATCACAGGAGAAACAACCAATAACTGTGGACAGCAAGGACACAAACCGTGCGTTCTCTGAAAGTAGTAAATCAGAGTTCACAGCGCGCGCACCTACAGGCAGGCATTTTGAGCGGGAACTGTATTATAACCCGGGTCAGGGAGGGGTTCCGGGCGCAGCTTGGCCCCCAAGACTGGAACAGTGAGGCTCTTCGGTATTTTCTGAGGGTGCAACCAGGCGTAAAGCCAATAACAAAGGTGTCCCACCACCCTGCACTCCTGGGATAACACATCTCCAATAATCAGAGCAACAGTTTCCAAAGACTTTCCCTGAAGCCGGAGCCGGACGGGTATCCAGGGTAACCATGAGGGGCGGAGCTTAGGGTTAGGTCCCCGCGAGGTTCGCCCAGCAACCAATAACAAACTGTGAAATCCCAGCCCATTGTTGTTTATTGCTGACCCCGCAGCGCTCCGCTACGAGATTGGCTGTTTTCTGGAAGGGGGCGGAGTTCCGCCCCCCTCTTCAGCCACCTTTCGGCTCCATTCACAAAATTCCTGCCTTTCTTGGTCACGTGGTTGGGGGCGTGGAGGGGTAAGGGAAATGACACAACAAAGGCCCAATTCCCAAACCGCAAAACTTTTTCTGCCTCGCTACCTCCGCTTTGTCTCGTCGCTGAAACAAATACTACATGTGAAAGGGCAAAGGAGCTTTGGGCTTGGGAGTAGTAACGAGATAACAAAAAAAAGTTAAGTTCGAAATTAAAGGCATGCTCTAATGGGGATAATTCCAGGGTGCACCACCTACGAGAAAAGCTGTGCAAAAAAATAAGAGAATTGAGAATGGGGAGAAAGGAAGCCTAGGAACTACTGCTGGCTGCTTCCTCCGGTCTTGTTGAAGCTGCAGAAGGATTTTAGTTTTCTCCTGTAACGTTCTGTAATGTTCATTTCTACTTTGATTTATCCCACAGGGTCTTGTTGGTTTTTAAAAGCGTCTTTTAGGAATTTTTCAGGTTTTCGCTGGCCAACAGTTTTAGTTTCCATTTCCAAAGTCCTCGAACTCCTTCTTAGGCCCCCATAACCCCCCCATGACCCTTCTCCCGGCACTCAGGCACTGGGCTACTAAATCTCCGGTTTTACTACGTATTGCAAGGGCTCCAGATTTTCCCTTTTTTGAATGTAATAAATGAACTTATATTTTTCAACTATTTGATGCTCATAGTAACAGAAAATGATGTCATGTAAATAAGCGTCTAGTCTCACTACAGTTTTAAAACAGCATAAAATTTTGTCATAAATGTGTCTCTCTTTGCATGCACACAAGTGAACCAACCTCTTTTCCCTTCCCCAGCTTTTCTGCCCTTCTCTGCATTGACACTTAATGAGACAGTATCGCTTCTGTCCTTTCTGTGTCTTGATACTGAGTTCACTCAGCTTTTAGTGTGGCAGCTGTTTATTTTCTGTGCTTTGCACTGGGAAAAAACCAATAGACCAGTTGCTGAAGTAAGTAGAAGGGCTGAAAATTTGTTTTTCAAAAAATGTTATTGTGGTGGAAAATATCTACAGAAACAGCTGTTCTATCTACAAGGGAGGAACGTAAAAAAAAGTTGCACAAAGTTTCCACTACTTTGGGGAACGTCTTTAAAAATCAGTTTGGCAAATGCCAGTCCTTTTTGAATGGAAAATTTCATTTTGGCAGGATTTCAGGCATAGAATGGCAGAGCAGAGGCCAAGAGGCTTTGACATTTATTTACTTGTATTTTGAAATCCCAATTGGGTTTTGAAATAAGAGTTCTTGAGACAGTGAGTGCCCCCACCCTACACCCCAAAAAGTACATTTTTGAGTTTGGAGAGTTTTTAACTTGTGTATAAAGCTATTTAAATCTTTATAGTTCCTTTGCTCTTGTTTAGTCAAGAAATATAATAATCATTAGTGACTTTTCTGCAGTTAACTTATGGCATCAAGCTGAAAATGCATGTTATTAAAGTGAACTTCTATAAGCAGTTTTAAAAACAGGAAACTAAAAAGGCACTGCTTGTTTTACATAGCTACTATGATTAAAAATAAAATGAAATTTTCTTAAATTTGAGTAGATTATTAAGTAAAATAGAGGCATTATAATTTGTTTTTTTAAATACTATATATTGGCTTGGCGCCTGTAGCACAGTGGTTATGGTGCTAGCCACATACACCCAGGCTGGCAGGTTTGAACCCAACCTGGGCCAACTAAACAACAATGATGACTGCAACAACAACAACAACAACAAATAGCCGTCGCCTGTAGTCCCAGCTACTTGAGCTTTAATGCCACAGCACTTCTACTGAGAGCCACATAGTAAGACTCTGTCTCAAAAATAAATAAATAAATAAATAAATAAAATACTATATACTATGAAAGGCAAATTGTTAAAGACCTGTTTGCACAGAGCTTCATCAAATAGATATGAAAAGGGGAGGCTATTAAATAGCAAAATTAGTTATGTTTTGCCATTCATATGATTGTGTAGGTGGTTATATATTGATTTCTTAGTAGTATCAAGTACATTGGATACTTTTTTCCCCATTCTTGGGATACTTTACTAAGAAGAGAAGAGGAGAGAGAGGGGTGGGGAGTGGGGATATGGGAGAAGGGAGAGTATTCGGGGGGGACCTCACTTAATGTGCGTGATGCAATGGTACATTTCAAAACTATTCTGAAATGAGTATAATTGTGATGGATGTGTTACCTGGTTCAATGTAAACATTTCACATTGTATATCAAAACAGCATCCTGAACTCCATAAATGCATCAACGTACAAAGTTATGATTTAATAAAAAATAATTAATTATTTAAAAATAAATAAATAGCAAAATTAGCAAAGGAAATGAACAAGTGAAAATAATTCTAAAGGAACATATCTAGCCCTAAAAGAATGATGAAATAAAATCAATAGATTTAATGGGCTTTCTATGGGAAGAAAAACAGAAATTTGGGAGAAGGGTGGAGTCCAAGAAGAAGGTAAATGTATCAAAGCAACGGATATTGTATCAAATTAGATGTTCCCTCCCTCCCTCTCAGCGCTGCCATTGTCTGCTGGTCAGTATCTATAAACGCCCTCAAGTAGAGGAAATGCAAACAGCTTTTAAACGTGGATGAAAATTCTTAAATGCACTACAAGTCAGGATATTATACTGTACACTTTAAAAAACAATGTTTTTAACCCATTGAGTTTGAAGAAGTTTATAATATGTATAGATTTGGATCGTAGGATAGGGACATTCACATATATTGTTGGTTGAAATGTAACTTTTTGTAACCCTTTTAAAGTAAGCTTAACTGTGTTGTATGGAAGCAATATGGAGTAGATCTTACAATGCGTTGTATCTATTAGACACTAAAATTAGACCCAAAAATTCCCTCGTGGGAAATCTAGCCTACAAAATTAAAAACAATGGTGCATAAGGACTTTCAGTGAAGTATTATGTATAGAGAGAAAAGTCCAGAAGCAACTGCAATACCCACCAATAAAGGAATAGATTTAGCCAAGTACTTTGGAACTCAAAATTAATTATATAATTTTTAAAAAGCATGCTATACCCTCGATTCTCAAATTTGAGATTATTTAAGACACTCTGTGTAATTTACTA